CCCGCCCCGGGGGAGCGTTGCGGGAGAGGAGGCCCCCAGCCCCAGGTCTGGAGCCAGGGTGTTAGGCCTGCAGCCGTCTTAGCGGGCAGGGAGGGACCTCCAGAAGGCTTTTCGTCTTACAGTGGGTCGGGGAAACTTCTCTTTCCGTCTGATTAACTCGTATCAGGGCGGGAATTTTAGATGCTTGTATTCATCGCGCCTGTGCGTCTGGTTATTTCGCCTCCAGGCAACTTCTCGGTTTAATTTTCATGGGGGGGGGAGGGGGAAGTAAGAGTTTGAGGAAGAATCTGTAAATGCTGAAGCACACCACTGCTCAGGTTTATTGGCAAAACTGTGCCAGGTACTGGGGTATCACAGTAGTGCAGAGAGGGAGTGGGAGAGTTTTGGTTTTTGGGGTTTTTTTGTTTGGTTGGTTTTGGTTTCTTGGTTGTTTTTTTTTTTCTTGTAAAGACCTTTGTGTCAGACAAAGTATATGCTTGGCGGTCTTTGCAAGTTACCTTGGCAGTAGGTGAAAGCACATCTGCATGAATTAAACTTCAGCATTAAATGTCTTCTGTAGTTATTTTCAAGTAACTGGGTTACTTTTCTGGCAGTGCAAAAAAAAAAAAAAAATTTTACTGGCAGTGCAAAAAAAAAAAAAAAATTGTAGAGTAGAATATAGTCTTAAAACATGATTTATAAAACATAAAAGCTATATAGCTATAGCAGATATTGGCTCCATGAGAAATTGTGAAGGTTTTGGGTGTGTTTTTTTTAGTTTCTATTTCCTGTCAATGACCTTATAATAGCATGATGTCTTCAATGATTTTTTTTTAAGTATATGGAAAAAAACCAGGTTCAGTTCTCCTTTGGAAGCTACCATCTCTCTAAGCAGATTGGAGGCTTGTGATGAACACAGCTCCTCAATAAAATCTGAGACAGGTCACTCCTATTTAAAAGTGTTAAGTCTGTCTGTATACAGGATCCAGATCTAAATATTTCACAGAATAGGCTCAAAAAAGCAAAAACTGGTAGGTCTCACAGACTTTCATAACTCAACCTTAGATATATATTGAATGGGGGTAAGGAAAACCTCTGTCCTCAAATAACAATACTTTAGTAATGGGGAAAAAAAAAAAGGTGTGTTTTGGATTGTTTTTTTGTTTTCAATTTTTTATACTTAGTTTTTTCTTTATTACTTGTAATCTTAGGAAATGTTAAGTGTTTGTAGTGTATTTGTCTCTCCTGTTAATTAAGTACCGTATGACATTCTGTAACAATATTTAGAAAATAACTAACACTTTTTTTTTAATTTTATGCAGACTGGCAGGAACTAAAAAATAACATAAAAAGTCATCTCCCTTTTTTTGGTAGGTGTTCTCTTGTTAAACTTCACTGAAGCTGAATATCACACTTGTCTTTTGAGAAGGTCTAGATGCCTTTTGTTACTCTCCCCTGTGCATCAGAGAAATTGATCATCCTGGACTTAAGAAATTAAGCTTTATTTATATTTTAACTCATTTTATGTTCTTGAGGTATAACAACAACAAAAGCAATAATTTGAGCTGAGTGATTGTAATAGTTAAAGAAATGGATTAGAGAAACATGATTTCTGTTGAAAGTAAATCTTAGCATGAGAACTTGATTTAAAAACAACCTGGAATTCATTAGCTGCCTTGTTTTAAAACAATTCTACACCCTACAAAGACAGGCTTGCTGTTCCGACAGACTGCAGTGGTGTTAAATGTGAAAGACTGCTGAATTTAACGTGGCCATGTTCACTAGAGGCCACAAGGTGGTATAGCTCCTCATGTGTCTTAAGCAGATCTCAGAGCACAGGTAGCTAGCTCATCTAGTCATGATTTATTCAAAGGAGGGTTTTATTTTATGTGAGTATACTGTAGTTTCAAAATCAAAAATAAATACAAAATATTCCAGATTTTATTTGATTTTTATCCTCTAATATTGAGGGAGAAGAGGGAAACGTACAGAAATAAGCATGAAGCAAACTTTTTACAATAAGACAGTGCAGGAATAGATTGGTATTGCGAGGGGAAAAGCAGACTGTGTTAGAGGCCTTGTATAGAACTGGCAAGCTATGAAAACAAGAAGAATAATGAAAAAGAAAAGAAGAAAAGGAAGAAGATTAAATCTGGTAATGGGGTAGCATGAAGAATAGAGCTATATAAATGAAGTTAAATAAAAGACAAATATACCACCTAACGCATCTATATTTGCAGCTGGCATTCATTATAGGTAGTGCCAGTTACACAATACCAAAATTAAAACAGTAAAAACATACACATTGGTGTGTTTCTGCAATCACAGTCAGTGTTATAAGTGTTGAAATGTTTGTTGGAAGGGACCTCTGGAGATCATAAATGCTGATTCCCTGCTCAGAGGGCGATTTCCACCGATATTGGATTAAACCAGTAAGACATTATGCTGGCTGGATGTTGAAAATCTCCAGGAATGGAGATTCTGCAACCTCTGGGCAACCAGTGCTGCAGTATCCTCTGCTGTTTTTTTCCTGAAGTCCAGTTTGAATTTCACAAGCCAGAATCTGTGGCTGTTGACCTTTCTTATATCATCTTGGAATATTAAAGAAAGATTGAGTTCTGTCATCATTATAAATATTCCTCAAGTAGCTTTAAGCTACTTCTATTTGAACAGAAGCAATAATCCTACCACTTCAGATCAGGAAGTAATTCCCTCGAGAGGTGTGGTTTTTCCTTTTTTTTAGATAAAGTTTGGATTGTACGTATGTAAGGGACACATGAGACTTGGAAATTAATGATTTTTTTTTTTCCCCATCTTTTTTCCTCTGACTGAGTTTGGTTTTATTTATGTTCAGACTTCTCACAATGAAAATATACAGTCCAAAGAAGGTATTTAGTAATAAAACATTTGTGAACTGGAGTCACTACACAGTCTTGGTTGCAAGTGTTCTTGGTTTGTAAAAGTAAAACTGATAATGACTAAAGATTTATTTTCCAAACCTCATGTTCATAATACGTCATACTTCATGTTATATTCTGAAACTCTTTTATTTTGCTTGGTCTTCACAGCTAAAATCTTCATGCTGACAACAAAGCAGCTATAACAATGGGAGTGACTAACCTGTGGCAAATTCTTGAGCCTGTGAGACAACCTGTCAACTTGAGCAGTCTCAGAGGAAAAACACTTGCTGTTGATTTAAGTCTGTGGGTTTGTGAAGCTCAAACCGTTAAAAAGATGATTGGAGTAGTTACCAAGCCACACCTGAGGTATGGTATCCATATAAATTATTGTAGCCAAAAGTCTTGGAGCTGTATAATTTAGGTATGATACTTATTCCAAATGTAAGACTATTTCCAGAATTCATATGACTGTGTTGTTTTGATTTTGTTAGGATCACTTATGTGAATTAAATATATTTAAATTATTCTTCAGGCTTATGAACAACCTTGAAGAATATGGATATTTTTAATTTAAATAAGTTACATGTTTAAGGGATGAGCAAGTATAAGCAACTGTAACTGCAAAGCACTGTTTTCTGCAAATGATGCTGACAAAAATGAAAAAATACACAGATTTTCATAAATGACACGTTGTTGGTTAGCTCAAGAATACTAAGTTACTAGCTGCTGTTAGACATTCGTGTGGCTTCTGTTGAATTCAGCTCATATGAAATATTAGCACTTCTGAGAATAATTTCTTAATGTTATGCTTATGATCCCAGATGGGTAATTAACTGTAAAACTTGACACATTACCAAAGTTGTTACTCCCCTCTGATAGGATGTTCTGTGTCCAGTGAAATGGAAGCATCAGTCCAGATCTCTTATGCAGTCTTTCCAAAGCAAGACGAAGGAATGAACAGATTTCTACCAACAAAAGAATGTTTTCAGGCAGTTGGAGACTAAATTGTTTTGCTAAGTATTTTAGAGAAACTTACTGCAAGTGATTTAATTTTTTTTTAATCACTTGTGAATATAGAACTAGCCTCAAAAGATCAGCTTATCCTTTTTTACCAATGGCAAATGTACAAAATTAAATCTAGAGTGATCATCTTCTCATGTAAATCAAAGAGATACGGATGTTTGGTCTACTCCTTTTGAAAGATTGAGCCTGGAATTACTGGACAAAGTATATGCTGTCTGATATTACTGCCCTCAATTTTACTTTTATAAACCAAATAGTGATTATTGCTTCCTTGCAAAATGCTACCTGTCAGTGATGCTGATTTGCATATCAAATAAATTGGCATGGTAATGGTATCTGTGACTAATACCACAGCATTCAGTCACTTCAGACTATGATGTACCTGTACTGATAGATTTGAGATTAAAATTTGATATAAAAGAATCAATATGGATATGTGTTTGGAAGCAGACTTTAGATATTGAATGGTTTTTATTAAGCCTTTTAAATTTGCTTACATCTTTACACCTAAAAAAAAATCTTTTTTCTCCCTATGTGGTGTTTTCTAGGGAATTTTGTAAAGGTATTACAAGTTCATAGTAAAACAACTTCAGCTGAAGACAGGCATATAGATAAAAGGTTTGTTAGCTTGGAGGTGAGGAAATCCTAAAAGGTGGAGAGAAAGCTAAGATTGTTCCTAGGGTAGGCTGAGGGATATAAGGAAATTGGAAAAAATCAGGCTTTGCTAATTCTGCAGCTTATGGACATCTTTATTGCAGAAACCTATTTTTTCGGTTCTCTTTCTTAACATCAATGGGAATTAAACTAGTGTTCATCATGGAGGGAGAGGCCCCCAGGTTGAAAGCAGACACGATGAGTAAGAGGAACGAGGTGCGCTATGGACCTTCAAAGAAAGTTGGAGCTGCAAGAACAGGGAGATCTTTATTTAAAACCATTTTAAAAGAGGTAAGTAATTGAGGGCTGTGTTTCAGTATTGTTAATGTGATAGGAAGAAATCTTAACCAAATTAAATACAAGAACTTGAAAGAATTAAGAGTTTTCTACACCACAAATTTCAACAGTGTTTTGAGGCAACACGTGCCTTTGAAATTGAGCCTTACAGCATCTGTTAACTGTTGCAGTAGAAGTGGGACAATGTAATTTAGAATAATTTTCTTGTTTGATCTGTTCCTGTGCATGTGATGCTGTAGTGAGCCACAGTCATAATTGAGTGTTTTATTACAGAAATTCAACTTTCTTGTTCTTTTATAGTGTTAGTATGGATACTTTTTTTTTTCTAGAGCCAGGTATGTGTGAAAACAGGAATGTGTTGTGTACCTATGTAAGCTAAGCTAGTGTATTTTTGAAGTGGTACTCAGAACTGTTTTGTAACCTAGATCTATGATTTCGTAAACTAGCCGAATAACTAAGAGGATACATTTGTTGGAAACCCACTGAATTAGGCTAAAAGGAAGTCTTGATATAGATGATTGAGACGGCTCTGGTTGCAAAGACCTCCTATTCAGTAATTTTCTTCATTCATTGTTGCAGATATTTAATGATTTTTGTGGATTCAAAATTTTATGAAATAGAATTTATAGATGCTTATGGCTTCAGTAGATTGAATGTATCAATTCACATTTTATTTTTAAATTCTAAAATAAATTCTTTTTTCTGAAATTTGTAGGAATTATATAGGAGTATATGTATCAGTATGTCTTATACTGTGGTCCAGTTTTACTAGGCCAACAGTACTGTACTTTCATGCTTGATATTCTTGGGGAGTCTGGCAGCTGTTGAAAGATGTCTGTGTTAGCCCAGTGTTACTACTTGAGTAAACAGCGTTGCTTCTCAAAGATAAATATTCCTTTGTTACTCTTCTTCTGAAAACATCTTAAATATCTATTTAAAGATTTTTGTGAAGGAGTAGCCATTAATCATGCTGTGCTCAAGTCCTGTAACTGATACTTTGCTCTTAGTTGGATATATCTTTCGACTGTTACAGTAAACTGTATTTCTCCTGAAGTGGTGCTTGTATTGATGTAGTGTTCTATAGGCAGTGCAACAATAGCAGTTTTTGTATACGCTTGTGTCTGAGAAAACACATAGTAATAAGTGGATCTAATTCAGCATTCAGTCTCTCTTCTTTTGGATTCCTTTTTTTAGTGTCTTGATCTGCTGGAATGTTTAGGTGTCCCTTGGGTTCAAGCAGCTGGGGAAGCAGAGGCAATGTGTGCCTACTTAAATGCAACAGGACGTGTTGATGGCTGCATTACCAATGATGGAGATGTCTTCTTATATGGAGCTCAAACAGTTTATAGGAACTTTGCCATGAATGCTAAGGTAATGTACCTCATCCTGTTCTCACCCTCTCTTTAGACTCTTCCCAAAAATGTAAATAGAAAGAAGGGACTTAAAGCATTTACTTAGATATTATAGAATTCACCCTCTAGTAGTTGGGTTTATTTAGAATAGTGTGCTTAAGACAGGAACATCGTGTTTGATTCCCTGGCAATCTGTCTATTGGAAGTGAGAGCAAAACTACGGAACTGAAGAACACTTATGGTATTATTGTCTGTGTTTGTAGTGTCCCGTGATGTGTAATATAAAGCTAAGTAGCAAACTTTCTTTTTTCTTTTCCTCCTTTACCATGGAGAATTGAAGTAATTGGTTCCTATAAATTTACCATTAGGACATATGGGTGTGGTCAGCCTCTTGGGTCTAATAATCATAGAATACCAGGTTGGAAGGGACCTCAAGGATCGTTTGGTCCAACCTTTCTTGGAAGAAGCTCCATCTAGACAAAAGCACCACCTAGACAAGATGGCCCAGCACTCTATCCAGCTGAATCTGAAAAGTGTCCAATGTTAGGGAATCCACCACTTCCCTGGGGACGTTGTTCCAATGGCTGGTGGTTCTCATTGTGAAAAATTTTCCTTTTGTGTCCAACCAGCATCACCCCAGGAGTAACTTGTACCCATTACCCCTCATCTTCTCCATATGACTCCTTGTAAAAAGGGAGTCTCTATCTACTTTGTAGCCACCCTTTAAGTACTGGAACATGGTGATGAGATCTCCCTTAAGCCTTCTTTTCTCAAAGCTGAACAAACCCAGTTCTCTCAGTCTTTCCTCATATGCCAGACTTCCCAGTCCTTTGATCATTTTTGTGGCCCTTCTCTGGACCCTCTCCAGCCTGTCCACAACTTTTTGGTATAGTGGGGACCAAAACTGAACACAGTATCCCAGGTGTGGCCTGACAAGCGCTGAGCAGAGTGAGATGACTTCTTTATCTTTGCTGGTGATGCCCTTGTTGATGCAACCCAGCATCTGGTTGGCTTTCTTTGCTGCTGACAGTTCACAGTGTGTGAACTTGCATCATACAGGTTTGTTTTATTATGAATATACTTACTGAATGTGAATAGGGTAGAGATTGTATATCCGTATCATAATCAATTTTTGCAATCATTCAGAAAATCCAAATGAATTTATGACCTTGAGCTGAAGTGTTCATTTGTTAGGAAAGCGATTTTCCAGAACTGGCAAAAAACAACCCTAAATTTACATAATTTATACTTTCTGTATAAATCAGAAAAAGGAATGTGTGTTTTGTCTGGTGAATCTAACAAGAAAGCAGAGGAAAAATTATATTGGGATTGGAATTTTGAATAATGCTCATCTGAATGACTTGTTGAGAAAATACTGCAGTAATAAGAGAAAATCAATAGAACAAAAACACTATGAACAATTAACTTTTTCTAAAAAATAAAGTTGTTATTCATGTTAATCTTGATTTCATGTTGTTGTGTTTGAGTCCCTCTACCCTTCAAAGCTTCAGGTGTTCCTTTAGCTTATATCTAATATGCTAGATAGCATTTTAATTATTTTTTTCTTTACCGAAGTAGCACATTAAAATGTTTACATGTATTTTAAAAACTGGAGTTCCTGAGATGACTTAGAGCCACTAGTACTGGATGTTAGTTTTGCCACACTTTTTCTACAGGTAGTAAAAATAAAAACATCCCTTGGCTTATTTTAGTTTCTTTCAGCAGTTGATGACCATACTTAAAATTCCAGAACTATATATCCATGCATTACAGTATAAATTGGAATTGCTCCTTTTTTTTTTTTTTTTTTTTTTTTGCTGTCAGAGCCCTCTTATGGGATAGACCTATTTCCTGCAGGTGTGGGTGAATAGGGGTGGGTAACCAATCACTACTGAATGTGACTCAGGGCAGTTTGTTCCCTGATGTTACAGAAATAAATTTCTCTTGCAGGATCCACTTCTTGACTGTTACACGATGTCCTCTATTAAGGAGAAGCTTGGTTGTGACAGAGAGTCTTTGATTGGGCTAGCTATTCTTCTGGGTTGTGATTATCTTCCAAAGGTAAGCAATACAATTTTTTTTTTTAATTAGGTAATTATAGTTTATTGTTTTCCAAGACAGTGTATTGAGGGAGACTTCTGCATGCTGAGAAAACTGTATGCAATGCATGATTAGTGAGATTTAGTTGAAGAATATGCTTAGTAAGTTACTGTAAATTTTATTTGTGAAGGCTTAAAAGTAATCAAAATGGTTTATGAACATTAATCTTTCAAAACTGCTATGTATTATTCCAGACTTTAATATAATGGAGGTGAAGACAAAAGTTTAGATGTCGATTACTTTGAACAAACACGAGAACAGAGTAGTTTGCCAGGATACTTTGAACCCGTTGGTGTGTAAAGTACATCCCTGGCAGAGTAGTTGTGGAAAATGTGGAAAAAACAGCTTTATGCTGTTTGGAATAGCTAGTAGTGGTAGTTTTGAACTGTAGCTGTTAGTAATGCCAGTTCTGGATGCAGTTTGGAGATATCCCCTTTTAGTTCTATCATTTGTAAATACATAATTTATGAAGAAGTAGGAGTCACCTGTTTGAAAGCTTGCCTAATGAATGAAGTGAGAGGGATCTCACTCATTATTACTTTACTGGTTTTTTTTTTTTATTTTATGTAAGCTCTTCAATTTTTTTGGAGACACTGAACAGAAGCTGTTGTAGTGGCTATTTGAAAGGGAAAGGAAGCGGGATGAAACTTGATTTCCGTACAGTTCATCATACAGTGACTTCAGGCAACAGTAGTTCCCATTCAGGTTTGCAATGGATGTCTAGTTAGTCTTAAATTATTGTGTTCCAAATTAATAAAACAGTCCTTCTAAACAACTGATACTGCTGGAAGAGCAAATAGCTCTCTCTTATTTTTTCCTGAAGGACTTGCTTCTGTTATAGGAATCTTTAAATAGTTGGGGTTTTTTAATTATTATTATTGTTATTACTACTATTACTACAAAATAAATATAGAAACAGAGAGGGAGTTAAAAAAAAAATAAAGTGGCTAATCAGTGGTTAGGAACTGATGCTGGATTCTTGCATAGTCCTAAAGTGACATGATTATATAAAGCCAGGTAGGTCTTTTGAGTTACTGCAGTCCAGTGAAGTGAATGAAGAGAGGAACTTCTAAGGAAAGCCGAATTACAGGAGTGCATTGGGAATGGGGATTGGCAGAACAGATAATGAGAATACCATTCTATAATTGCACTTACTTTGTTGAGTGTATATCAGAATGATGCTTTCCTTGCAGAAGCTGAATATCTGACACTATGCCTGAGTGTCTGGCTGCAGTCCAGTGACAACTTCTAATTGGTTTTGAATGCACATTTATTTTCATATGGCTGCTTATATTCAGTTCAGCTATTACAGCTGAATAAAAATAAGCTACAGACTTATTTGTAATAATGCTGTAGAAAGTACGCTCAATACAACCTTTATATTCAACTGTACTGATTCTTGGCAAAATAGAGTAAGGATTGAAAGAGGAACTGGAAAATCAGTATGTGTGTTTTAAATCATAGAAGAGTTTGGGTCGGAAGGGACCTTTAAAGGTCATCTAGTCTAACCCCCCTGCAACAAGCAGGGACATTTTCAGCTAGATCAGGTTGCTCAGAGCCCCATCCAACCAGACCTTGAATGTTTCCAGGGATGAGGCATCTACCACCTCTCTGGACAACCTGTTCCAGTGTTTTACCCATCCTCATTGTAAAAAAATTATTCCTTATACATAGTCTGAATCTACCCTCTTTTACTTTAAAACCATTACTCCTTGTCCCTGGCCCTGCTAAAAAGTACATCCCCATCTTTCTTATAAGCCCTCAATACTTACAAGTATTGAAAGGCCACAATAAGATCTCCCCAGAACCTTTTCTTCTTCAGGCTGAACAACTCCAACTCCCTTAGCTTTTCCTCATGGGAGAGGTGTTCTGTCCCTCTGATCATTTTTGTGACCCTCCTCTGGTAGTTTTTAATCATCTGGCTTTCACTCTTTAGTATGTCTAGAGGTTACTACGCAGGTCTGGATCTCGGTCCATGAGCTAGGTTCCAGAAAAGGAACCTCCAAGGTCAGGTTGGATGGTGCTATTCTAAGAAAATATTTGCTGTTCCTATCCCCCTGTTATCAATAGTGGTAGTCCCTTTTCCTATAAAGGACATACATACTACAGATGTAATAATGGAGTAAATATCAAAGTCAAGCAATTATTGAAAGGGAGGGGAGGAATTCTTTGGATTTATGGTTTTACTGGTTTTTTAAATTTATTTTTCAGACAATGCTCTTGCACTTTGCTTTGTCACCTCAGAATTGATATTGCATAAGTGCTTGAGGTCTTCAAATATTAAAAATTGTTTCTATTGCCATAAAGCATATCTTTCCTGTGAGTAAAAGCTTTTTGCTAGGTTTCTTTTATCTCTTAAGTTCAGGCTTTTGACTCTAAAATCCAAAAGATCTGTCTTTGTCTTGTCTTTCCAAGACAATTCCAAAAAGTTGCAGCTCTCTCACAGTTAGCTGGCAAGAATGTTAGCAGTATTTTATATTGGTGTCCTGTTACAGATAGTAAGAAGGAAAACCAAACAAACAAAACCTCTTTTCCTATTGTTTTCTGTTACCTTTTTTCTCTACGTTGTTTTATCTGAGTTGCTATTGAGCATAAGAACATTTAATGCAGCTTGTGTTTTACACTTGTAGTACGGCTGTAATCTGTCACCTTTTCTGACTTTAGAACTTGATCAAAAATTATTTTTCTCAATTTACTCTCAGCATTTGGGACCATTTTTGTCAGTTCTTTACATAGTTATGAAAGCAGTTTTTATGAAAATCTGAGTATTTTCTGTTTGTCATTAAGGTTTCATATTTCTGTGTCAATAGGGCGTTCCAGGAGTTGGGAAAGAACAAGCTTTAAAGTTAATTGAGACTTTACGAGGTGAAAACTTATTGCAAAGGTAAAGTGAAAATTTATGTTGTATGCTGAAGTACTTTGATTTTATTTCAAAGACTTGCTGGTACGTACTTGAACTCTAAGACAATGTTTGTAATACTTTAATTTGGGAGAGGGGACATTACCACATTCCTTACTTTATATTTGCTAAGTGAATTATGTGTTTTGCTAGTCAAGCTTCTTACTGTTTTAAACATTAGCTGGCTCCTAGCTCTTGAGTTAGCAGATGTTTGTTGATATATTGGAAAGGAAGTCTGATAAGAGACTCTTGCTTATTGTTAATTGGGTTGTGGATCAGGACATGAGATAGAAAGCATTTGCTATGTTTGTTATAATAATGTGTATGTCAATATTAGAAATGCAACAATCATAGAATGTACTTTTAAAAAATTATTTCATAAATTAGAAAACTCTTGGATAGGTGCTTGAGAAGTATAAAGGGAGTATTTTTCAATGTTTTATTTTAAATATAAAAGGTAAAAATATTTCTTAATCCTTTTAATATCCTTTTAGGTTTGAGCAATGGAAAGAACAATTTCAGTATGATAATAATCCACCTGTGGTTGTTAAAAGGGTAATTCACTGTTCTGAGTGCCATCATCCAGGTCAGTATGAAAAGCACTGAATTTTATTTTTAGCCTAATCATTTGTTTACTTTTTGTTCTTGGTGTGTGGGCTGGGGTAGTGAGTTTTTTATTTGGTTGCATTTGGGGGGCTTTTATAACTAGCATTGAAAACTGCATTTCTTGTTATTCAGATTCTGGGCTGTCTTCATATTTTCAGTATTGTGTATATGTATCTTTTATATAAATATTTTTGAGGCTGGGAACTACCTTTCTTCAAATGTGAAACTAGTTGATAGCAGATGGAATGTTATCACAGTGCTGTTGTGTGATCCCAGATATTTGTCTTTTTAACATTATCAGAAAAGAAAGTATGCTATACTGGCAAGCAACTATTTCTTTAGTTGCTTGGCTTAGTCCTGCATCAAGAGGACCGAATCCATTAGTATTACTGGGTTTTGCTGCAGTGTTTCCTTAAAAAGAAATTAGTCCTAAGGAATCTCATTTTGGTAGCGTCTTTGATCAGTGAACTCAAACCAATAACTTGGAGAAGGAAAAGCTTGTTTCAAATGTGTTACTTACATATGTTTGCCAGGTTTTCACAGACGACTACTGTAGTTTTTACGTAATAAAGTTTCCAGCATAATGTCTGAAACTGTTGGGGAAAAAGTCTTCCAGAAAAGTGAAAGCTTGCTTTTATTTGTCAGTTTTCACTGTAGATTTATAAATACAGCTAATGCACTCAGATCTGCTTACAGCTACTTTCATGTCAGATTCCTATGTTCTGAGCTTCGTGTTTGTAGTATTAGCTTTGTATATTTGGAGATTTTGGGAAACTTTTCTTCTCACACTTTGTGCATCTCCTTCTATAGGATCTTTCAAGGACCATGAGCGTAGTGGATGTAAATTCTGTGAAAGCACTAAATACTGCAAACCCAATGACTCCAAATACTGTTGCCCTTGTGAATGGCATCAGTTAGAGCGAGCGAAACAAGCAAGCGCAGTGGAGGACAATATCAGAAAGTAGGAATGTCTTGAAAGTTGAACTGCTTTTCCCTGCGTTCATGTGCAGGGTGAGCGTTTAAATTCTGCATTTTTCCCAGTTGTATTCAGTTCCTAACACATTTGTTTTGCCTGCAGAAGAGCTAACAGTTGTGAGGGCTTTCCATTCCCTGAGGTAACAAACAAGCCTAATTAAAGATTAATTTCTTTAATCAATTAATTGAAACTTCAGTTTTCTGCCCTCTCTTAAACTGCCTTGTTTTTGTTTTTATCTCAAGGTTATCCAGGAGTTTCTTGTAAACAAGAATAAATTGATCAAGATAAAGGAATGTCAAAGGCCAAATTTATTGTCCTTTCAGGTATATAACAAAATACTGGATATTCAGGTTTTTGTTTATTAGTGAGGAAGGCATCTGTGATAATTTTGATCTTTACTGGTAATTTTACTGGAAATAAAAATTAAAGAATCTTGCTACAACTTCTTAAAATACTTACTTTTTTTGAAAGCCTGAAACTGAAGACTTTGAAAAAAAAATAATCAGTTGATGTAAATAAGTATGTAGAAAAGTGGAAGAAAGAGAACTCAGAAAAAGGTCACTTGCCGTTGTTTTGTTTTTCACTGTCCAGTATTACCAGATGGGGGTTGCTGAGTGCTGCATTATCTATGTAGTGTATAAAGTACTGTATGGTTATATGGCATAATATATGCTTCAGTGATGTTATCTTTTTTGTTTTCATCCACCTTTCATAAAGGTATTAACAGATAACAGCTCTTGTTTTTACTTGTACTTGTTTCATCATCGTACTGGCACGGTAACTTGGGTATTACAGCAAGTCATGATTGTGGACTTCTTTTTTTTTAACATTAAACTTCCTTTGCAATGATATTTTTGGTATCAAGGTAACAGCTTCTGTGTAACAGAACATAACATTTTATTCTGAATGTTGCATATTTTTCCATAAAAACCAATAGCAGGCTTGTATTTAGCACAATACTACCAGCTTTCAAGTTCAGAGGCCCTTTAATTCAAAGTGCACAAAGCTCAAAAGTGGTCTAGCTTATTCTTCTGTCCAAGGATAAATATCTTGTGAAGCTTTTTTTCTGGAGGGGGGAGGGGCATGAGATTAATATATGCATGTTAGGATTGTTTTCTAAGAATTATTTGTATTTGTTTTTTATTGGTGAAAGCAGATCTCTTATGGTGTTTCATTTTCTGGGATTGATGACAGTGTGCGAATTATGTATAGCATAACAGACTGCTGTTAAGCAATGTAGCTTTAATGAAAATCCATATTCATCCTTCTCATGTGCAAAATTTGGAATTTGCGCAGCTCTTTGTGTAGCTGATCTGAATCTGACAAGGTGTTTAGCAACTGTCTTATCCCTGCTGCTGCCCTACATACCTATTCCTTTGGCTTGTTATTGACAGCTGCTGAATCTGCCCTTTTATGGATTACTGTTCCCTCCCTTGGCAGTGAGATATCGTTGGGAATTATAAAAGCTTTCTAGATATTTTAAGTATTTAGTCCTGTGTCCCTACTACATAGCTGTCTAAGCATGATCTCTAACAGAATAAGAAAGTTTTAAAGTTTGGGGTGGTTTTTTTTACGCTAACAGATATTTGCTTCTGAGAAGATGGAATGGACCAAACATTATGCTTGTAAGAAACTGTTAGCACTATTGACACGTTACGATATGATCCAGAGAAAATCTGGACGCATTGATTCAAAACAACTGCAGGCTATACGGTAATGTAGCTTGATTTCTTGAACTTAATGTATTTACTTCTGTTGCTGGATGAAAATCATGGGGCTTTTTTCCTTTTTTACGGAAATATGTTTTCTTCCATCTCTGTTCCAAGCTTTGTGCTCATTGTGAATAGAGGTAAAAATTCAGATCAGCGCACCAATTCTTATACTACTGCTGCACAAGCTAATACATATAGTAGTTTCCTTTCTTTCTCCCTGACAATGCCTGCTTTTTCCTATGCTTATTTTCAATTCTGTTTCCTTGGATCTGCATGTGAGATTGAGCATTACAGGTTTGATCCTCTGCTCAGGTTCTTAGCAGAAGTTTAATTGTCTTCTGTGATTCAAAATAAGAGCCTAGGCTTAGAAATGAGCATCTGCAGGTTCAGTCATGGTCTCTGATTTCATATCAGACCTATCAACTGTTGTTGTACAATGTGTCTGATGAAATCATTGGCTTACGGTTCTATTCTGCTACCCTTTTTCTCCTCAAAACAACATTTTCATTTAGGAATATAAAAATGGCCAAATATCCTGTTACTAAGAATGGATATGTAGGGGAAAAAAAACAAGATAAGCATGTAACTACTTTCCCCTAGAATATTTTTTTCCACCATTCAGGTTTCTGTTACTGAGGGGTTTTCTGAGCCAGAATTACTACCTTCTTACTCTATCAGCTTTTGATGTATTTTTTTTAATGATCTAACCTTTTCTTAAACTTATGTAAACTTTTAGAATCTACAGTGTCTGTTTGCAAATCTGAAATTAACTTCACTGTGTGAAGGGAGTAACATAAAACTTTAGTATCTGACGGTTTCATTTCCCAAATGAAACACAAATTCTGCCCCCAAATTCTTGTATTGCAAGAAGGTTAGTAGTTTTTCCATGTTCCTTCATGCTGTTCAAGATTTTATAGACCTTTATTTTGGGAGACAGAAGGACAGTCCGTAGCAATGTGATGGTATCTCTTCTGGGTTTATGTGTCGTAGTCTGTTTAATTATTACTTGCAGAGAAGCCATTCTATTCAGTGTTATCTTTCAAAAGAGTGGAGAGACTGGTTGGGGACTGCTTTTTAAACAGGTTGGCTAGATAAATTACCAGCATTTTACCTTGATGAATAAGTTAATTGACATCCTCTGTTTGTAACACTTTCTAGTGTTTCAAGAGTTTAAAAGACAGATCCTGCATGCGCTGGATTTCTTTTGTTTAAAACCACAGTAATGATTCAGCA